GTGAGATTCGGCACAGGCGGCCCTGGGAGGGGAGGCCTCTAGACCCGGAGCACTCAGACCTCTCTCCACCTGCTGTGGAGCCAAGCTGGGCGCTGTGAAAGCCCAACGCTGGTGCCCGAGCCGAGTGTCTCATCTCTCAGCGCTGGTGTCAGCCCTGCTTCCAAAACTGTCCTCTACATGCACGTGAAGGAGCCAGCCCTGCCCTAGTCACCCTAGTCACGAGCTTTATGAAGCTGTTTGTTTGGGTGTGGTGAGGCTGGGAACCATGCCAGACGGTTACAACTTCCTGCAAATGACAATTCCCCTAGGAAAAGAAACAAAAGCAGCTCTTCTATTTAAAACCTCTGTAGGGAGAGGAGGGGCTGGAGGCCCTGGTTTGGTCTCTCATAATGTGTTCAGTTTCCTGGGTCTCTGCACGTCGGCCGCCTGCCTGCTCCGGCCTGCTCGTCCCCAGACCCGTCTCTAATGATCTCATTTTTAATGGGCTGTGCATTTAAAACACATGCGAACTGGGCTTTTAGAGTAAAATGCTTGAGAAGATACAGAATAGAGAAGTAACCAGTAAGATACTGTCTTACTTGTTTGACTTCTAAAAATTCTCCCTTGCTTCAAAGAAATGTAGTTAAAGGGCCTCTCTTGGGAGACTCTTATAGTTGGATTTGAGAGTTTTCTGTTAGCTTGGTCCTCTAGGTCTGAGCAGAAACCAGGGCCCAGGCATCAGATGAGAGCCAGTTGAAAAGGCGAGCAGGATGGGCTGTAACCCACTGGATGGTCTCTGCCGCGTTCCCGACTGGGGCAGAGCTCACTGTCTGATTAAACAAAGGAACCCAAAGCAGGAAGTTGCCAGCCAGTTAGTCTACCAGCCTTCCCTCCTTGTGCCTGCAGGCTTGGGACCTGACAGCGTGACCCCGCTCCTTGACAGCAGTGCTGTTCGGTCGGCTCAGCTGCTTCTGTGACGGTCACCTGGTCCGGACCGTTGTCCAGGCAGGCTCAGTTTAGGGGGCTTGAGTCTCTTCACTGTCGTCACAAAGCCACTGTCACCCAACTGCATTCTTAGCTGCTCCTTGGCAGTTTTATTGCATTGTTTTTTTCTCCTCTAGAAGACTTTAAATCCTCACTTGGGAGAGGGCAGCAGGAGGGGGTAACAAAGTTGGCTCCGCAGTTAGCGTAGTCTGCTGCTCTATGGGCTCCACACATGGAAGGATGCATGGACAGATGGACAGTTAGTAGGTTGTTTGAAAAAAGCAGGAAAAAAAATATGTATTGGTCTAAGCCACATCAAATCGTTCCTATTTCCCTGGATAAAACTGTGTAGCTGCACTGGGCAAATCTGTTAGCTTCTTCAGAATTTGGATGCCTAATGTGATGTTAACCATGGGTCTATGGGAACATCTTATAAACCGGGGCAGACATGGGAGGGTGTAGGTACCAGCACAGGCTCCAGAACTGGACGACCGGAGCTCAAATCCTCACTCTGCACTTGCTGGCTGTGGTCCTTGAGCAAGTTCCTGAAGCTTTCTGACCCCATCAGCAAAATGGGAGCGTACTGGTTTCCTATTACAGCTTTAAGTCACCACAAACTTAAAACAACCCCCATTTATAATCTCACCAGTTTGGTAAGTCAGAAGTTGGTGCCCGCTGGGCCAGTTTCTCTGCTCCTGGTTTCACAAAGCCAAAATCAAGGTGTTGAGTGGCTGGGCTCTTACCAGGAGGCACTGGGAAAAATCCACCTCCCAGCTTACTTGAGTTGGCCACTGCAGTTCCATCCGGTGTAGGACTGAGGTCCTGTTTCCTTGCTGGCTGTTGGCTGAGGGCTCTTCTCAGATTCTAGAAGCCGCCTGCACTTCTTAGCTCTTGGCCCCCTTCTACCATCTTGAAAGCCAGCAGTGGTGGGTCGTGTCCTTCTCATGCTTCAAATCTTTCTGGTCTCCCCTTCTGCGTCACCTTTCCTTTGCTTTCCTCTTCTGCTACCTGTCTCTGACTCTAGCCTGAAAAATTTCTCTGCTTTTTAGGGCTCAAGTGATTAGATTGGGCCCACCCAGATAATCCAGGATTATCTCCCTAAGGTCCATAACCTTAATCACACCTGCAAAGTCCCTTCACAGTAGCACCTAGATTAGTGTTTGGATAACCATGAGTTGGGATCCAGCTCTAAAATCCTACCTACAGAGAGTTGTGAAGATTAAACAAGGTGAGCTGTGTAAGGCACAGAGCTCACACCTGTCACAGTGTAAGGACCCCATACCCGCTAGCTGCCAAGGAGCAAAGCAGACACTCAAGGCTCCTGGCAGCACTGACGTCTGCAGCGCCAGCCAAGAGCACCCAGCAAGGGTCCGGGCGTCAGCTCTCCAGGACCCACACAGATGCGCGATCTGACCTGGTCCCCTGCTCAGGCCCACCTGCTGACTTGGGCCTTCCCAGGTCCCTTGTTTACCTTGGGGAGCTGGTATCTTTTCTCCTGGGCCTGTTGCATTTTGGAGATTTAGTTTCCCTTCTGCCTTTACCATTCAAAGCTGGGGTTCAGGTTTGGTCTACTCTGACGTTCTGGCTAGACTTTACTTGTTTGAGAGTACCTTTCACATCAGATCACTGAGCAAAAGAGGAATGATCTGGTGTGAAGAATACCTAATGGTTCCTATAAAAGCTGGGCATGGGCACCAGGCATTGGGGAGCATTATTCACGGGGAGCTGTCTTTGGTCTTTATTACCAGCACCCAGAGGGTGGGAATAGTGACTGAAACTTTGGGTGGCTTGAGGACACGTCTGTAAGAGACATATCTTACCGTTCAGTTTACTCCTGTACTTGCATTAATGCAAGACGGCCTATCAGTGCTGGCGTAACCCGGGGAGGTTAAGCAGCTCGCCCTCCAGAAGATGCGTGGTAGAGCTGGCCTTGGAACCCCTGGCGGCGTCAACACTGGGCCGGGCCTGAGCCCCAGTGCCAGATAGTAACCTCTTTTTTCTGTATCAGGCCCTAAAGCGCCAGAGCTCGTTGGGCCTTTCTTTCTTTAACAGCATCTTGGCCCATGGGGACCTGCGCAGTAACAGGCTCAACCAGCTGTCCGTCAACCTGTGGCACCTGGCACAGAGGCACGGCTGTGCGGACACCAGGACCATGGTGAGGCGAGGCAAGGCGAGGGGAGGGGTGGGGGGAGTGGGGGCCCTCACAACGCCCACCAGGCACGGCTGTCCTGGCGAGTGACGCAAGCCCACTGGCCAGGCACAAGTGGCCTCAACACAACATCAGGGCCTGGACATCAAACAGCCCCAGTCTCCCCTTCCAGAAAGGTGCCAGGCCCTACAAAGTACAGATGGCTCTCCGTATCTGCAAGTCTGGCGTCCTCAGATTCAACCAACCACAGATCAAAAATATTCAGTGGGGGGAAAAAATTCCAGAAACTTCCAAGAAGCAAAACCTGAATTTGCCACCTATCAGCAACTATTTACATAGCATTTACATTGTATTAGGTGTTATAAGTCATCTAGAGATGATTTAAATATACAGGGGGAGGTATGTAGGTGATAAGCAAATACTACACCATTTTCTATAAGGGATTCAGTATCCTCAGTTTGGTCCCGGAACCAAGGGACCACGGAGTAGTATTAAGAAGTAATTCCCTCTGAATAAAAACCACATGTATGAAAACACCAGTCATTCCTGGTGATTTTAAGAGCAAGCTATAATCTAAGGAGTCTTATTTAAAAACTGCTGGTTTCTTCCCCTCCCTTCTCTGCTAAGAAAAAAGCCAGAGCTCCCGATGTGGCTGATTTGTTGGAGCCCTGAGTTATGAACCAGAAAGGAGATGAGTCTTTCTCTTTCCTCCTAGGTGAAAACTCTGGAATACATCAAGAAGCGAAGCAAACACCCAGACATGGGGCATCTGACCGAGCTGGCCCTCAGGCTCCCTCTGCAGACGAGGACCTGACCCTAGGGGCTCTGGTGCCAAGTCCAGAAAGACCTGTTTTGCGTTTTTGTTTTTATTTTTACACACGTACAGATTGGCTTCTCTACTAGATTATTCTGCCAGTGAAGTGAACAAGCGGGAGCTGGCAGAGCATTCGAATCCACTCCTGCTCACTGAGCACAGCATCTTAGTGTTTCTTTGCACAGGTGGCCTTCAGATGGGCCTTTAGGGAAAAACTGAAGAATGCAAGTAACATCTTTCCTCTCTGGAAGGTGTTTTTTAATTGGAAAAAGAACCTTGAAAAGCAGTCCACTTCGACAGACCCACTGTGCCCTTTCCCTAATTTGCTTTATATCAAAATCAGCTCTTGACTGGATTTAGAATATGCTGGTGGATTAAAGGAGAAAGCGAGGTCAAATCTGAGATTCCCTGTGGCTTCGATGGAAAATATACTGTAACTGAATAAACCTCCTGAAGGAACACTTATGTTCCTGACTGTTCATTTAATACAGTTGACTCTCATCCGGAAGAGAACGTGTCTAAACATACCGCCTGGTTTTCTTGCAGCCATAACCCTAAACAGCATACGATTCTGTCTACTTTTTTATCAGTTTGGTGGAATCTCATTCTTGTATTACCACTAATGAGCTTCCACTGACATTCTGAATCAGTAAGAGCATTAATATTGGTGGTGGTGGTGACTCACAGCCTAGAACCCCTTGTGCAGGAAAATGCATCCAAGCTGTGGATTAAAAGTACCCCCAGGGGCTTCCCTGGTGGCGCAGTGGTTGAGAGTCCGCCTGCCAATGCAGGGGACACGGGTTCGTGCCGGTCCGGGAAGATCCCACATGCCGCGGAGCGGCTGGGCCCGTGAGCCATGGCCGCTGAGCCTGCGCGTCCGGAGCCTGAGCTCCGCGACGGGAGAGGCCACGACAGTGAGAGGCCCACGTACCGCAAAAAAAAATAAATAAAATAAAAGTGCCCCCAAACTACTGTACTTTTGGAAGGTATACACTGAATGTAGATAGACTACATTTTACCTCTACTCTGTGAAAAGCCTGATTACAGTTCACACAGTAAAAGTAGCTAAAATAATTTTTTTTAATTTACATAAACTCATGTTTTAATTGAATAGCTTGGGACCAAGAATATGCTATGGATTTTCCGGCTGGCTTAATAGTGAACCCCACGAGAAAACGGCCTCCGTTAAGGAACAGCGTGTACTGAAGAATGCACCTCAACTGAACATAACAGACATTCAGAAAGCACAGTGGTATTGCTCAAATGTTCCCAAGTGGCCTTTATTTCACAAATTATTTTCATTAAAATTACTTCCTATACCACTTTTACTATATACTATTCAAATGAAAATCAATCGGCAAATTTACAAATTATGCACTTTTAAGTCATCTACTTTGAGGCTGTACACATCAGACAGCATCAGCGCCCAAGCCTGAGTCAATGAATTCCTGATGCTCTTCCATTAACCTGGACTTGGACTTTCACGTTCGGTCAGGTATCCGTTACACCAAAGCAGCCTCTGAACCATATGTTACCTGGCCCAGGCGGAAGCTTAGATTTTCTATGTTCTTGTGTGGTTTCCTCAGCCTGTTACTAAATCAATTAGCCAGTCTCTGAAGACCATGGCCTACACGAGGTGAAGTCTACTACTGCTACTACATGAAGGATGATGGACCAACAACACACACAAAAAAATCAAACAATTTTAGGAAATAAGGTGAAAGTGAGAAAAACTTCTGCATGAGGCCTGTATTAATTTTCTATTGCTGCTTTAAATTACTACAAACTTAGTGGCTTAAAACGTCACAATTTTACTACCTTACAGCTCTACTGGTCTGAAGTCTAGTGGGCTTACCTTCAAAGTGAAGGTGTCAGCTGGGCTGTATTCCTTCTGCAGGCTCTAGGGGAGAATCAGTTTTCTTGCCTTTTCCAGCTTCTAGAGGCCACCTGCATTCCTTGGCTGGTGGCCCCTTCATCTTCAAACTAGTGACAGCTTGTTGAGTGTTTCTTGCAAGTCTCTTGACTCTTCTGTCCCCTCTTCTACTTTTAATCCTGGATTATCTGGGTAGGCCCAGTCTAATCATATTAAGGTCAGCCGATTAGCAAACTTAATTCCATCTGCTACCTTAAACTCCCTTTTGTTTTGTATCACAACATATTAACAGGTTCCAATATTAGGACTTGGATGGGGCGGGGGAGGCACGGGGGCATTATTCCAACCACAAACCTGAACAGTTCTAAGTTTGCAGAGCTGAACACACAATTTTTAAGGGGAGAACTGTGTCTATCTGGCAAATACTTTTGATGGGCCAGTCTAGTTACGGAAAGGTGGCCTCAGGGAGGGGCCTAGTGGGCTAAGGCGAAAGAGCAGGAATCACCCCAAGGAATAAAAAAGTGGTTAAGAATCACGAGGTCTGGGGAACGGCTGGATAAAGGCAGTTATAAGGAGGGAAGGACCCTGCCATAGGAGGAGGGTCAGTCAGTGAGCAACCCCCAAGGGAGAAACAGCCGACAAGTTCAAGAACAGGGTTGTTACATATTCAGCTAAGACCTTGGCTGTGCTTAAATACCAGACCTCCCACCCATCTCTCCCAGACTCTGAGTAAAAATCCAAAAACCGCCTTGTTCCAGTGGAGACAGGCTGTGTGCTACATGGAGTCAACAAATGAGGAACAACATGGGAAATCACACCACAGAAACTTGCAGACAGCTTGAGGAGGGCCCAGGACATGGGGAAAAAGGGGGATAGGTGACTCAAGACAATGTTGTTTAATTTACGAAAGGACGGAGGCCCAGCTAACTGCAGGGCAGGAGCTGTCACTAGAGCAACAGTGGTCTGCACCTACGAGAGCAGCCAGACAAGGCTAAGTTCAATCTGAGGACACTTGGCATCTTGCCGTCTGGGCTGCCCAGCCTTCTCTGCTTAGACCCTGCTTCAGGAACAGACTTTAATAACCTTCCCAAGCCAAGTGGAACTCATTCAGCCACACTGAGCTAGAAAGTCAAATCCTATCACACACAGACTGAAGACACTGAACAGCAAGAGGGGAAAGGCCTGACCACCACACCCTAGTGAGAGCTACCACTGTGGGGATAGGTCAGGGACAATCGCTCAGCCACTGTCTGGAAGCACCCGGTAGATGGCTGAGCACAGTCCTTCCTGACAGCCGAGCAGGCCCAAACTGTAGTGTGATCTCTCAGCAAAATAAAAACGATTAGAGAAGCAGTGGTTGGTTCCCTTTACACTGGGCAAGTTCCTGTAGTGTGGATCAAGACTGGGAAAGATTTATTCCCCTGTCGGAATGGGATGTGCCCTGAAGAGCTAACTCAAATGCAGAATCTTACCGTGTAGGCCTCTTCCGTTACGCATCTCAAGGTGGAATCCATGAAAGGCCAAGTTCACCTTCCGAGGGAAGTGGCCCATCTGAATCACTGCTAACACAGACTTTGTAGGACTCTAGACCTGGCCGATGCTTGCTGGTCAGGGCCCAGGCAGGCCTGCCTCACCTCTGCCCCATGGGGCAGTAGTGGACCCATGTTCATCTCACCAGCACCCGAACCTCAGTCTTCCTTCCTGACTGGCCTGAGAGTCTCCCTCCACATGCCAGGGGCTGGCTCAAGAATGGGTATGTGACCCACTGCTGGGCAATGAGTTATGACAAAAGGGCTTCTGGAAGTTTCCTTGAACCACAAGAAGGTTTTTCTTCTTCCTCTGTAATGGTCTAGTGTCTTGATACGCTGCCTGGAACTGCTACAGCCATCTTTCCACCAGCCTGATGAAGCCAACACTGAGGATGATGGAGCAGAGAGGAAACATTCATTTCCTTCATGGGAAGCTGAATCAACCCCCTACGACAGGACAGGACTCCCTGCCACGTCAGAGGCTGAACTTCCTGGCTGTCCAGGCCTGCCTGAGACAGGATGTCTGTAGCAGGAGTTCAAGCCAAGTGGTGTGAAAAAGGCCCAATTAGAACTGATATTTTGGGAAGCAAAATGCTAGGTGAATGCGGAGAAGGTGGTCACATGTCACTCGGGTGGCTATACCTGGAGCTTTGTGAGGCTGGCTCTAGCGTCAAGGCTTGGAAACACTGATCCCAGGCTGATGAGGCAACGCCCTGTCATCCCCACGTCTGTGCCTCCCGGCAGTCGACCTCCTCCAGGGAAGTCGCCTGGGATTCTCCTCCTCGTGATTGAAAAGAATCCAATAAACACGTCCCTGGGAATTAATGTGCCTTCGGCTCACGTGGAGGACCAACCACCTGCTCTCTAAAGCGCCTGTTCAGAATGCAGTTAAAGCAGAAAGGTGAAATGCAAGCTTGGCACTGGGGATGGAAGGAGACGCAAAAGGCAAGATGGGTTTAGAAGCACACTTCCCAGCAGCAGAGGAAGCTCAGCCCCATCTGCCTGGTGGTATCCAAACGCCTCTTTGCCTGTGGCTACTCTGAGAAGGGGGAGGGAAAATGAGCTTGCTTCTCCTGTTTACATTAATCCTGCTTCCTGTTTGAGATTTAGGCATGTAAAAAGCTTCTGTTTCCTCAATGGAGACATTTTAATCCTCAATGAGTATTCTGGGTGAAATTCCCTAGAGGGGACATTCAGTGTGGTGAACAGTGACATCGGTCTTGGGGCACAAAAGTACACTTGGCACTTACTGGTTGGGTGACCCCAAGCAATGTTATTACTTCATTCCTGAACTTGTTTCCTCATCTATAAGATGGGGATAATAATAGCACCTGTTTCAGAATCATGAAGATTAAATACATTAATGCAAGGGAGACACATATGTGCCTGGCACACAGTAAGCACTAGACAAGTGTGAGCTACTGCTGTTGATACTCACTGTCTTCAACAGGGACGGAAGCTTCACACAGAAAACAGGTTTCAGCCACTCCCATGTTCTCCTGGTTCCTGAAACGAGCTGCCCTCACCCCAGTTTGTCCAAGCACATCAACATACTTGTCCTTTATCTCTGCAGGAGTTCGATTGGAGACAACTGTCCTATGGCTTTCATCTGCGTAAAAGAACCGTTTTGGGGACAAGACAGGAGAGTTTAATCTTCAAACTTGACTGACTTGGATGCATTCCTGTCAATATAAAAGATTCTGTCCGGAGCCGTGGAGAAGCCGAGGCCCGCCCTCCGGCTGTACTTCCAGCTCATGGCCCGGTCGTAGTCCTGCTGCAGATTCTGCTGCAGGGTGTCGGCCACCTTCTTGCTGAGGGCCATGTTGGGCCTGCCGACCGTGTTAGGGGGGCGACTGAATGAAGGGGACAGATTTTTAAAGCCACCCATGAGTTTGAGAAATTTCAGTTTCTGTTCCTCATTTTCAAAGCCAGCAGTATCCCATTGGCCAAACTGAGTTCCCTGTGGTAAGAGAAAACAGGTGGTTACTTTCCTGGCCTCCGAAGCATCTTCCCTTCCCCAGCCCCCAGCCTTGCCCGGGAGGACCCAGATGATCAAAGGCTTACTGCGCGCCAGGCACAGCACTCGCAGGCACAGCGCTGGATTATCTTAACTCCAACCAGAGCCCTGTGAGGAACACTGTTGGTTCCCACTCTCCGGATGAAGAAATGGAGGTTTGCAGCTGGACCGGGGGCACAAGCCTACTTGGTAACCCTGCTGGAACTCCATCTTGGGTCTGGCCCACACCAGAGCCCACCCTTCACACTGAGTTGCCCGTCTGCCTTACTCCTTCTCCCCCAATTCACGGCAGACAGTACGACACACCTCACCAGCTGGCTACTCATCCATCAGCCTAGGGTTTCTGTCCTTTGGAGGGTGGACAGGGCTAGCGGGAGTCTGAAATGCATTTCTCTTCGCAGAAGCGCTGCACTTCATAGCAGGAAAGGAGTGGCGGCCCCGGGAGGTGAAGGGTCACACGAGTCGGATGCTGAGCTAGCCCAGGAACTCAGGGGTCCCGATTCCTGCCCAGAGCACTCTACAACCCACGCACGAGTCGGCCATGTTTGAGAAAATACAAGAGAGCCCCTCAGAGCAGTGGCCCAAGAGAAGACTCCCTTCCCTCCCGTTGTCTGTGGCCGAGGCCAGAAACCCAGCTCCCCATGAAGACTGTGACTTCAAAGACTCAGGATCGAGTCCCGCCTGCGTCACCCGGGTAAAGTACCTTAACCCCTGAGCCTCAATGTCCTCATCTATAAAACGGGGGCGTAACAGCCCCCGACGGGGCTTCACTGAGGCTCAAATCAGGTTTTACACCAACAACTCAGAGCCCGACGCCTGGTTCGCTTTAAGTCCTCGAAAACTGCTCCTCTACCCACCCCACCCCACCAGGATTGCTGACCTCTGTGCCGCCTGGGAACTCGCCGCCTGTGAGCCAAATGCCAGCCTAGCACTTATTTCTAGGTCGGCTTTGGGCGAACAGTAAGAACCAGTCATTGCTACAGCTAGCTGCCCTGAGTGAACTGGTGACAAGCTCTCCGAGCTTCACAGTGCCCCCAGTACAGGCACTAACAACTGCTTCCCCAGCCTTCACTTTCTAGAAGGAGAGGCCACCTCTGACAGCCCCGCACTGGGTCTGAGGAGAGAGCTGCCAGAGGCTGCCCAGTCCTGTGAGCTACCGACCCACTGAGAGGGGACCCGGTCTCAAATCCCCACCATGCGCCTCCGCAGCCAAGTGGCCCCAGGTCCCAGGAGGCAGGGCCACCTAAAGCATCCCCGGAAGATCCCAGCCCCCATGCCCCCGGACCACCCTCCTGCTGTCGGGTCCCTCCAGGTATAGCCTCTGGGCCACCGCTCTGGATGACGCTGCCTTGTTTCTGGCCTTCCTCACTCAATCATGGAATCTTATCAGCTCTGCCCAGTTCAAGAGGATGGAGAGAAAGGAGACACTAGAGGAATGACATAACAAAGCCCCATTCCATACCCCTCTGGGCCAGAGCATGAGTCCCATTTTACAGGTGTGGAAACTGAAGCTCAAAGAAGGGAAGTTACTTGCTAAAGTCTCATAACTATAGAAGGTGGCAGAGCCAGGAACTGATCTCAGGTCTTTTGATCCAAAGCAACTGTTCTTTTCTGTGCTACACTAGGAAAGCTTAAGACAGTGTTACAAGGAAGCAAGTCCTTCCGTCATCTGGATCCTCTGTCCCCCTCTCCCAAATCGACGTCTATTAACAAGTTCTCTTCTCTCCCCTCTGCCCTCTCCTCTACCCCAGTCCCCGCTGCCCCACATAAATGCGCTCCAGCAGTTCCCACCGCCCTGCCCACCACACCCTCCTGTCCCTCTCCAGCCTGACCTAGCGGTCCCCATGCCATACACTCTCCCGTGCCACCTCCTGGGGCCTGGTTTGGAAATTTCCCATTCCAACTGGACCAGAGGCCTGCCACCTCTGCCCCCGCCCCTGTCCCAGCAGCTTTCTCAGGGTACCACCCACTGCTGGAAAGAGCTCGCCATCACGTGTCCCCAGCGACTGATGACTGGGACACCCTGCCCGTCCAGAGCCAGAGACAAGGTCCACGCTGCTTAGCTCAAGCGGCCAGCTCTCCAGTAGGGAGGCAAGCACCCGCTTCCCAAGAAAGGAGAGTAGCTCAGGACGAGCTCTGTGGAGCAGGGAGCCGGCTGGTGGGCGGGAGCTGCTTTGGGGCCAGATGGACTTGGTCTCCCGCCCCTGCAAGGTGAGGAGGAGACCCCTCGCGGAGCCCAGCGTGAAACTTACCGTCTGCTTCCTGGTGTCAGAAGCTTCGGTCCTGCCTGACTCACGATCGATCTCTTCTTGCAAGGCCTTTCGCCTCACCTGAGCAAGGGAAAGGAAAGGAAAGAGGGCAATTAGACAGTCGGTTTTGAGCTTCAAACCCAGGACAGAGAGGAGGTGGGGTGGGGGGACTGGAGGGGGATGGGCAGCTTTGTTCTGCTGCAGGCCGGGGGAGGCATCTGTCAAAAATACCCTCTAATCATGTAAGGGGCAATCCCTTGGCCTAAAACATACAGGCCTCATTCACCCTTCTTTTCCATTCCTTGAGAATGAATCTTCCAGCGGACTGCCCTGGCGGTCCAGTGGTTAGGACTCGGCACTCTCACTGCCAGGGCCCGAGTGGTTCAATCCCTGGTCAGGGAACCCCATGCGCTGAGTGGTGCGGCCAAATAAATAAATAAATGAATGAATGACTCTTCCTAGACACTGAGGCTTTGCCACCTTTAGCATTAGAACCTCTTCTGTTTGTAAGAGCCACCTGGGGTGGAAATTTTCTCAAAACACACGCCCAAAGCCCTGCCTGTACCGAAGATACTGTAGTTAACTTTCTTGCTGACAGCATCGTCTTCTAGAAAGAACACAGGCTCTGGAGTCAGGCACAGGCTAGTTTGAATCCTACCACTGCCATTAACTAGTTGTGTGGAAGTCAATTAATCTTTCTGTACCGTGGTCTATTTATCTGCAAAGAGATGGAAATATCAGCTACCTTGGAGGATAAATGGGAGACAGAGAACTGCAATACTGTGGTTTATAGTAAGAAATATATGACAAGAAATATATATATATAAACTCATCCCCATTCCTGGCACAGAGTTCCAAAATCCCTAGGAATTTCCTAAGTGATGGGAACAATCAAAGTGTCCTTTGTTATGTTAATTGGGTGACTTTCGTAAGCACCTGAAGATGGGGGCTGGTTGCCCAGAGAACCAACCACCGATGAGAGGGTTGGAACTTTCAGTCCTGACCTCTGGGGAGGGGAGTGGAGGAGGAGATTGAGCTCAGCCACCAAATGGCCAATGATTTAATCAACTGTGCCTCTGTAATGAGGTCTCCACAAAAACCCAAAAGGTCAGGGTTCCGAGAGCTTCTGGGTTGGTGAACACTGGAGATTTGGGGAGTGGAGCTCTCGGAGAGGGCATGGAAGCTCCATGCTCCATCCCACACACCCTGCCCTGTGCGTCTCTTCCACCCGGCTGTCCCTGAGTTATATCCTTTCATAATAAACCAGTAATCTGGCGAGTAAAATGTTTCTCTGAGTTCTGTGAGCCGCTCTAGCAAACTAACTGAAGCTGAGGAGGAGGTCTTTGGAACCTCTGATCTGTAGCTGGTTGGTCAGAAGCACAGGTGACAACCTGACTTAAGACTGGCGTCTGAACGGGGGACAGGGGTGGGGAGCAGTCTGGCGGGACTGAGTCCTTCACCTGAGCGGTCTGATGGTATCTCCAGATAGACAGCGTCAGACTGAGTTGAACTGCAGGACACCGCGTGGTGTCAGGGAATCGCTGGTTGGTCTAAGAAAGCCCCCAGCCCCACGATGAATTGCGGTGCAGAACGTAAGACAGAGTCCCTGGCACACAGCAGGGACACCTCACACACTGTTACCAGAGAGGCTCAAGGCCACAGTCAGCGCACCAGTGACCCTGTGGTTTGATACAGAAGCTTCTAGGGCCCAAGGGTTCTGGTGTGACTTTGGCTGCTCCCAGTTTGTGGCCCCTCCTCTTCTCTTCTAATCTACCACAGGCTGAAATGAGGTGACCATTCATATAGTTCAAAACTACATAAAACAGGACTTCCCTGGTGGCACAGTGGTTAAGAATCTGCCTGCCAATGCAGGGGACATGGGTTCGAGCCCTGGTCCGGGAAGATCCCACATGCTGTGGAGCAACTAAGCCCGTGTGCCACAACTACTGAGCCTGCGCTCTAGAGCCTGCGAGCCACAACTACTGAGCCTGTGCTCTACAGCCTGCGAGCCACAGCTATTGAAGCCCACGTGCCACAACTACTGAAGCCCGCGCGCCTAGAGCCCACGCTCCGCAACAAGAGAAGCCACTGCAATGAGAAGCCCGCGCACCGCAACGCCGCAACTGGAGAAAGTCCGCGCGTAGCAACAAAGACCCAACGCAGCCATTAAAAAAAAAAAGACACTGCATAAAACAAATCCAAAGGGCAGCTGTAGGGATGAGAGAAAACGATGGTATATTCCTATGTCTGAGTCATGCTGCTGATGGGGAACATGTGGATGTGCACTCACTGAAGCGGAAAGCAGCTCACCAGCTGAATGAAAAAAGTGAAAAGAACAGTATACAGAGCATGACTGTACGCTGCTTTAAAATCACACACACAGTTACAGAGGAAAGATCTAGAAGGATATAACAACCAAGGGTTAACAGTGATTATCATTAGGTGGTAGCAGGGGTCCCCAACATCTGGTCTGCGGGAGGTGAGCGGCGGCCAGTGAAGCTTCATCTGCTGCTCCCCGTCGCGAAACTGGTCCCTGGTGCCAAAAAAGTTGGAGACCGCTGGGTGGCAGGATTTCAGGTTGCTTTCCCCCAACTATTTTTTTTTTTTAACACAATGAACTTTTTACCAGAAAAAGAAAGGGAGAGTTGGGGCAGAAAGCTTCACTTACATTGAGATCATCTGTCACCCAAAACAGAAGTTTTCTTTAAAACCGTGAGGTATTTAATAGGCACAAATTCATAAGAAGCAAAGAGGTGGCTGGTGGGCCTTGCCCCTGTGAGCGGCGGGACACCTGGGAGAGGCGCCCAGGGCAGGGGCTGGGCCTGGACGGGTCAGGGCCCCACCTCCATCCTCCCCACCAGCCACTGCAGCCCGGGCCCCCGTCCCCAAACGACGATGACCTGCAGGAGGCTGGGGAGCCCCTGGTTCTGGGGGGCCTGCGCTCTGTGCCAGGCCCTGGACTGGGCCCTGTCAGCATCATCCTACTGAGCCTCTCCGCCCCAACTACCTCAGCCCCTCCCCTCCAGGGAGAGAGGCCCCCAACACCCCAAAGGCATTAGGAACTTCCTCGCAGCATCTTGTAGGCCCCCCTCCTTGTAGTCGGCTGCCTTGCAAGCACTCCTCCGTTTCTCTCCTGGAGCAGCAGGCGGCAGGGCCACGACATGGGCCGTCCCCACATCACACCCTGTTGCTTCTGTCCAGCAATTACTGGCTGACACAGCGTGAGGATGCAGGTAGGTGAACGGCTGCCACTTACAAAGCACAGGTCTCGGGCAGGCCCCTGCTGAGCGCCTCCCAAATGGCCTTGTTTGGTCTTCACGGCCACCTACATGGGGGTCCCGGGGTCAGTGACTGCCAAAGTAACCTCATTAGTAATGGCCCAAGGCTGTACCTATGCAGTTACTATGCTGTCCTGATAGGCCTTGGGGTCCAGGATCATAAAAATATCCCAATTCTAGAACGTCCAGCTCCCACACAGGATCTGGGCACGACAGAAGCAGAAGCTGGTCCACAAGAGAACAACTTCTCCTAATGCTCCTGTACAACAACTGCATTTCTATATACTAGCAATATATACAACAATAAAAACTGAACTGAAATACTATTTACAATAGCATCAAAAATATAAAATACTTAAGGAATATTTGACAAAAGACGTGCATGACCTGTACACTGAAAACTATAAAACAATACTGAGAGAAACTAAAGACCTAAATAAATGGACAGAGATGCCATGTTTATGGCTCAGAAGCCTTCATACTGTTAAGATGTCAATCCTCCCCAAATTTGTCTGTAGATTCAAGGCAATCCTAATCAAAATCCCAGCAGCATTTTTTGGTAACCAACAAGGTAATTTTAAAATTTATACAGAAGTGCAAAGGACCTGAACTAGCCAAAGCAACTTAAAAAAGAACAAATGCTAGAGACTTATACTACCTAATTTAAGACATTACATAGTTACAATAATCTAGACAATGAAGTGTTAGTGTAAAGATAGACATACAGATCAATGAAACTCAACAAGAGTCTAAAAATAGACCCACACCACACACACACACACACACACACACACACACACACACTCACACACACGGTCAACTGATTTTTTACAAAGGTGCCTAGGCAATTCAATTGAGAATTTAAAACTTTTTTTTTTTTTTGTGGTAAGCAGGCCTCTCACTGCTGTGGCCTCTCCCACTGCGGAGCACAGGCTCCGGACGCGCAGGCTCAGCGGCCATGGCTCACGGGCCCAGCCGCTCTGCGGCATGTGGGATCTTCCCGGATCGGGGCATGAACCCGTGTCCCCTGCATCGGCAGGCGGACTCTCAACCACTGCGCCACCAGGGAAGCCCCTAAAACGTTTTTAACATCAAAATAATGCTAGAAACATTGGACAGCCAATAACAAGGAACAAATTATTGATACATGCAACCTTACAGATAAATCTCAGAATGATCATGCCAGGTGAAAGAAGCCAGTGTAAAAAAGAGCACATACTGTATAATCCCAATTATATACAAATCTTAGAAAACGCAAGCTACGACAGAGAGTAGTGGTGGCTACCTGGGGATGGGAAAGGAAGGGATGGAATACAAAGGGGCACAAGGAAACTTTTGGAAATGATGGGTACGTTCATCATCTTAATTGTTTAGCTGGTTTCCTGGATGCATACATGTCAAAACTCATCGAACTGTACACCTTAAATATGTGCAGATTCTTGTATGTCAATTATATTTAAATAAAGTTGCAAAAGACAAAAAAAAAAAAAATGCTCCTGAATGGAGGCCAGGAGGTGGTGACGCGTGGGCCGGGCAGAGCACGTGCCCACTGCCTGGCTGCAGGTCACAGGGACATGTCCCCTTTTCCCCCTGCAGTGGTTATAAGGAGGGGAGGCCACAGGCTCCCCGCCACTGGAGGGGCGGCAGAGGCTGGCCTCGTTGCCTTTGGAGTCCCTGATGCCTCTGGGACCAGGATCTCGTGGCCTGCCGGGAGGCGAGTGTGCGTCCGGGGAAGGGAAGACACCTGGGAGGACGAGGACCGGACCGGTCGTACCTGGTCTATGTGCGCCTCGTCCATGTTGCCCTTCTTTTCCAACACCACCTCCAAGTCCGTGTCTGGCTCCTGCAAAGAGGGCAGAAGGAGTAAGGCTCAAGCGGACGATGGCCTCTGCCCTGGCAGCCCAGCCGGATGAGATCGCAACAGAGTCCAGAACAGACTCAAGACTGGAGCGCTACGCCCACCCCTATCGCCCACAGAACACCTGCCATCCTTTCTCTTCCACGATTCTCCCCAATTCTGTCCTGAAGACTGTGGCCCTGACCTATCTGACAGATGGACGCACTAAGGCTCAGAGAGATGAAGTGACTATCGTGAGGTTACCCCACAGCTCAGGGACAGGGCTGACACTAACCCAGGTCTCCCGACTCAGGCCTAGAGCACAACCTTTCCCGCCAGGTGTCACCTCACTTCCCAGGGTGACACCAAACCAGCAAGAGGAGAAAGGCCAAGGCCCCCATTGACAGTGGGGGAGGAGGGGCTGGCGAGGGCCAGGGAATGCAGAGGTGGGGCTGAGGGCCTGCAGCAAACCCGAATCCCCCCGGTTCTCTCTCCCATACCCCGCCCCAGCCCCCCAGCTCCGGAGTTCTGGTCGGTACCTTCTCTCCTGCCTGGACAACCAGGACAGGCTCTAACTCTGCTTCCCCGCCCCCAGCACTGGTGCATTCCACACAGCAGCTCGGGTACACCCTCAATTTACATCATGTTATATGTCAACGCCGTCTCAATTAAAAAATAATAAAACCACCTCAACTGGGCCACACCACCCGTTCCCCAGAACCCTCCAGGGGCCCCATCTCATTTACATGGAAATCCAGACCCCTGTGGCGTCCACAGGCTGCCGGGACCCCAGCTGGCCCAGCGCCTGCCACGCCAGCCTCTTTGCTCCTCCCAGGGCCTCTGCACCTGCCGCTCCCTCGGCACAGGCGGCCCCAGCCCCTCACACGTCTCAGCTCCCACACAGAAGCCTTGCTGGGCCTGCATGGGCCACGCTCTCCCGGGCCACCCTCTCTCAGTGGCCTCAGCCCCTGCGGGACCATCTGACAGTAAGATTCAGGTTGGCCACTTTCCCCTAGTTCCTCAGCAGTGACAACTGCCACGTCCTTGCTTCGGGTGTGCTCTGCCTGGTACCCCGCGTCACCTGTGATGAGCCCTGGGTGGCTCTGTTCGCTCACATCGCCTGCCAGGTCCCAGTGCTCAGCCCGCCTCCTCCCTCCCCTCCCCAGGCAAGGAAGCCCGTCAGGGTGGAGAGCACATCTCTGCCATCTTCACCAGGCTGCCATCCCCTCCCTTCCTCCTGGTAACAGGGCCCCGGTATTCCTCTCAGAAACCAGCTCCCCCAGTTTCAGACAGTGGAGTTACAGTGGGACTGACACCCTCAGCCTCTGTCCACTGGCTTCAGATCTGGGCTTCTGGTTTGTGACCCAACTGAGATCTGGGAGAGCAGTGCTGGGACTTTCCCTGTAATCGTTTTGGAGGGGCCACCCCTCTCCTTTTGGGGGTGGCTTAACTACTATGAAGAAAGCCTGGAGTTGCTGGGACCATCTCACCACGGGGTTGGGGTGGGAAGGAACCTGATATTAAAACCAGCATGGAAAAAATACAAAGTCCAGAGCTAGGGAAAGCCACACAGGCATCGCCTGCAATCTAAATCTATTTGATCCCTAAATTGTGTATCCTGAGTGCAGATAGCTATGGACATCATATTATCTCAAACTATTTGGTTCCTGAGCTTTAGACAGCAAGTGGCAAGAGTTAAGAGAGGGATTTATCTGAAAAGCTTATTCTAATTAATCCAGATCCTGAGTGCAGATAGTGAGAACTTGGGTAAAGTTTTGATAGCAAGGGATACCTGTATTATTGAGACTATTACACTAGCACCTGGATCCAGCTATACCTGAAGGTAGTAGCTCTCAAACCTTCTAGTTACATGTGTTGATAAATCCCGTTTTCTTACTAAAGGCAGTTTAATCAGGGCTCTGGCAGCTAAAACGCTGAGTGCCTGTGTGTGTGCACGCGCGCGCACACACACACACACACACACACACACACACACACACACACTCCCAACTTCCACCCCTATTCTCCAAAACAGTGTGCTTCTGAAGGAAGCCTACCTCCTCCCAAGGTTCTCCTGCTGCTCTGCTCTCCTGCCTCTTCTTCTTCCTCTTCAGAGCGGGCTCCTCAGTGTCTGCCTGCTCTGCCTTTTTCTTGGACTTCATTTTCTTCTTCACAGGGGCCTTGGGGTCATCTCCTATTGGGATGTAATCTGGAGCTTCAACTTTGACTGACTTCTTTTTACTTCCTTTCCTACGGCTGCTCTCCACAGACCTGGAGAGCTCAGGGTGCCCCAGGGGGGTATCTCCCTCCTGGTGGGTTTTCTTTTTCTTCTTCATCCTCATGTTGTGTTCCCTGGGGCTCCCCTGCTTCCGTTTCTGTCCTGAGGCTGCCTGCTCAGGGACGCCACCTTTCCCAGCTGAGCAAGTGTACAAAGCGTCCCCGGCCTCACAGAACCAAGGGTCCCTGGCTGAGAAGGCTGTAGCTCCCTGCGCCTTCTTCTCCTTCTTGTGTTTTCTGAGCTTCTTGCCAACTCTGGTCACCCCCTCGCCCTGCCTGGGGTCTGGGGAGGTCTTCACCCTTGAGCCAGGGGACACGGACTTTCTCTTCTTCTTCTTTTCCCTACCAAGGGACTCAGATGGACCAAGTGCCTGCTTCCTGGGGCTGGGAGATGGCTCAATCCGTCTGGCACGTAACACGGTCTCAGGTTCTAGGGGCTCCTCGCAGACGGTGCCGTGACCCTTCTTCTTCTTCTTTTTCTTCATTAGAGGCATTTCGGGTGCCTGCTCTTGGACCACATTCTTCGAGGGTGATGTGGCTCTTGTGGGACAAACCTCCGCAAAATAACTGTCACTGTTTAAAACCGAGTGTTGAGTCTCTGGTTCTTTAACTACCTTCTTCTTCTTCTTCTTCTTTTTCTCTGGGAGCCCAAGGCCCAGGTCTCTTTTGTGAGTCTTAGTGATCATTCCTGAAAAAAGAAATGGTACAAGTTATCCCCATACCAAGCCACCCTGAGTACAATTCCACTAGGTATTACCAAAAGTCACGTTTCCTGGAGCGGATGGTCTGAAAGGTTAGGGGCTGGGAAAATGGGCATGATTCCTGTGGAGCAAAGGGAAATATGATCGAAGAAGCAGAATGGAGTTTAAATCCTGACAGCCCCGGGTTGAAACCCAAGCTGCTCCCTCACCTCAAGTCAGTCACCTACCCTCGCTGGGCCTTAACTTCCCCAGCTGAAAATGGGGGGAGATAACACTTCCTTCCTCAAAGAGCTGTTGGAAAGAATAAACGATAATCCATGGAAAGTGTTTGGTACATCATTGACTCCCTTTCCTAACCCCCTTCCTCAAACCTCTTAAGCCTAGTCTTCTCTCCAGAAACGTACCCTGTGCCAGCCACTGCGGGCACAACTGCACTCAAGCCACAGGCCAGGCACGGCCCCCAGGGCTTACCTTTTACTGGATGAAGGGGACAGAAATCCTGAGGTCAGCTCCTCTTGCTGACTGTCACCAGAGGCAGTAACTGTGACACAATTAATCCACTCCCTTGCTTCATCTAAAGAGCGCTTCAGCTTTGCGTCTGGAAATTAACTGCCCCTGCCTGCACCGAGGGTGACTTACTCTTCTAATTACCTTCCCATGTGGCTAGTAATGAGAGCAGCAGCAAGGTACGGTGAGGAGCCCCAGCTGGGGCTGAGGACGCCTGCATTCAAATGGTGACTCACATACTCTTGCCACACAGCACTGGCTTCTCCGGGCCTGAGTTTTCCTATCCATAAAAGAGGCACTGAACCAGATCAGATCAGAGGCTAGTGGGGGAGAGGGGAGGGGAGGGAGGAGGGGGAGGGGAGGGGAGGGGAGGGGGAGTGGGGCCACATCCAGCATACAAGCCTGTTTCACTGTTTTTAATTTTTCAAATAAACTGCCAACATTTAATGATTGGAGAAAACACAGCAACCTTGAACACTCAGCTTTTTTTTTTTTTTTCCCTTTGGCAGGGCTGGGTGGGGGTCAAGGAGGCGCCTATGAGAAGGGGTTGGGTCCTCAAGTACATTTCAGCTCCCAGTTGTACTAAGTCTCTCACACCAGTCACCAGCCCAGTTCCTGCTCCCTGGACTAGATGACATGGTGCCACTCAAGGAATCCAGAAACAAACGGCCTCTCACAGGAGCTTTGGATAGTGGGCAGGAAAGGCCAGGGAGCTTCTCCATCCTGCAGCTTTCTTCAGAGCCCAGAGGGTCCATACTGGACCTGCCTCTTAACTGCTTCAAAATGCCAGGCTAGGCCAGAGCTGTAGCTCAAGTTCACTCACAATTGAAAGGAACACTCGCTCGCTTACTCCTGTCTGTGTTGTTTTCTGCTGTATTCCCAGGGCCCAGCTCTATACCTGGCACAGAGTGGGTGCTCAATAAATACTCACTGAACGAAGGAAGGAATGCTAGAGACACAGAGGTGAAAAAGAGATGACTCTGCCATCAAGAAGCAGGTAGGTGTGGGTGGGAAAGACGTGTGTTAACAATGATACAGGTGATAAAAGCAAGCACAGTGGTAAGGGCAGGGTAAGAGAGGTCATCTAATCTGGCCTAGCAGTTGTCAGGAAAGTTTCTGAAGGACAGAGGGCTGAAGGAGACAGGCTGGTTGGAACAGATGCCTTGAGATAGCCATGTGGAGATGTTGGTGGACAGGTGGATGAGGCTGAGGTGACTGGGCTGATATGGGTGACGTAAATTTAGGAATATATGGATGGTAAGTAAGCCTTGAACAGAACGAGCCTGAGACAGAACCTTAAGGAATACTAACGTTTAAATGGGTGGGCTGAGGAAGAGGGGCCTGCAAAAGAGAGGGAGAAGGTGCAGACGTGGAGAGGGTGGAGTCAAGGGCGCCAAGGGTGCCTCAAATGGAGGAGTGGTCTAGAGATCGAATAAGAACAAAGAAGCCAAGGGAAGGCTGTCCCCAACTTAATCCCCTTCTCTCCCCATCTCCGCCGTTCAAATCACTGTACCATCCTCCTCTTTAGCACTGAAGATCCTTCTCTTCAAACCTGAGACCCTAAATGTATTCATTCCTTCAAGGAAAAGGGAAGAGGAAATGAACCTTACAGCTTCTCCTGCGAACGCAAATGCTTTCTCCAAAAGCGCTTTTTAAAGTCTCGCGGTAGCCTCGTGAGGCTCGGTGTGTGTAACCCATCTCAGAGACGTGAAAACTGAGACTTCGAGGCTTTTAATTTACTTGCCCTGTGTCCCAAAGCCAGCAAGGGGTAAAACAGAGATTCGAAACCAGCCCGCATAACTTCAGAGCCTGTGCTCTCCGCATAATGGCACCAACACCCCACTCCCACCGCAGGCTCACTAGCAGGAAGCAAGAGAGCCGGGAGGCGAAACTGCCTCCTCAAAGGCTCTACCGCGCCAAGGCTTCCACACCAACACAGAAGGAGGGATTACGCCGGGTCCCGGGCCCAGCTCCAAGGCGGGAGGACTTGCTGGAGACTGCGGCCTCAGGCCGGGGCGAGCGCACACCGGCGACGGGGGGGAACTTGAATCTGAGGGTGCGGGTCGCCCTCCAGTCCCTCGGTTCTCCGCGCAAGTCCCCAGGCCCAGTCTCCAGCCCCAGCTCCGTCCTGCCTGGTAGGCGCCCTCCTCACTCACCCGAAGGCCAAACTTCCCCGCCTCCACGTGAGAGCCCACTCCGCCGTGACCCGGAAGTCAGTCTCGACTCGCTGGCCCGCCCTCGCAAGATGCGTTTACTTCCTGGTCGAGGCCTAGCGGGGAGCGCGGTTGCCGTGGAAACTGCAGCCATGGCGGCCCCGGGACGGGTGATCAGTGTCTCTCAGCGCTTGGAACGGGCGCTTTCAACTGAGTCGTTCATCACCGCCAGGACGCCAGGGCCCGTCGTGTCTCCCGTGTCCCTGGATCTGCGCGTCTCGCCGGGACAGGTTGCGGAGCTGCCCGGCAAGAACCTGTGGGAGCAGATCTGCGAAGGTAGGCAGCCCGGGCCGGCCGAGAGGGGCGGGACTCGGGCGGCCAGGTGGGGCCGGCGCTTCCTGGGCGCCTAAGGTGCGTCCGGCGGCTGACGCGCGAGGCCTCCTGGCAGCCTCGCAGCGGGCCCGCCGGGCTCCCCATGTTACGTAGGGGAAACAGAGGCTCTGAGAGGCTTGCCCGAGGTTAGGCAGCGCAGCCTTCAGCCTGCATCCATAGTCAGGTCGAAGGCAGGGGAAGGCGGAATAAAGGGGACCAGCTGGTGTGGGCCAGTGGTGCTCAAATCTCATTTAGTGAACAGGAAAGAATCGCTGGGACGGAGATGGGGAGCTTGTTTAAAACATAGGTTTCCAGGCCCCGCCCACAGGGCTCCTAATGGGGTGTAGGGGATCTGCACTTTGAAGGAGCACCCCAGGTAATTTTGATGTAGATAATCTGTGGCCCACGCGTTGAGCAAGCCTGGTCTAGACAGATTTGGGTTTAATTCTCTTCTTCTTAGCCTTCCTTAAAATTCGTAAGTGGAGTTTGTTTAGTTCACCTTCTTTTGTGGGCCTACAGTTACCCTTGATCATGAGGTCCCGCAGTACTCTTCACATACGTTGGACAGGTTAGGCATACCTCCGAGATGTTGCAGGTTGTGTTTCAGACCACAGCAATAAAGCGACTCACAGGAATTTTTTGGTTTCCTAGTGCATATAAAAGTTATGTTTACACAATACTGCAGTCTATTAAGTGCACAATAGCATTATGTCTAAAAAACACTGTATATGCCTTAGCTTAAAAATACTTTATTGTTGGGGAATTCCTTGGCTGTCCAATGGTTAGGACTCCGTGCTTTCACTGCCCAGGGCCCTGAGGGCCCGGGTTTAATCCCTGGTCGTGAAACTAAGATTCCACAAGCCCTGCAGTGTGGTCAAAAATAAATAAATAAATAAATAAAAATACTTTATTGCTAAAAAATGCTAACCATCATCTGAGCATTCAGTGGGTTGTAGTCTTTTTGCAATACTAATGTCAAACAGCACAGTTCACCATGACAAGTGTAATAATAATGGAAAAGTTTGAAATATTTTGAGAATGTCCAAAATGTGACACAGACGCAAAATGAGCAAATGCTGTTGGGAAAATGGCACTAATAGACTTGCTTGATGCGGGGTTGCCACAAACCCTTCAATCTGTAAAAAACTCAATACCTTCTAAGTGCAATACAGTGACGCACAATAAAACAAGGTATACCCGTATGTTACTTATCCTCGGTAAAGTGAGCGTAATAATGGCACCTATTTCAAGGTGTTAGGAGGATGCAGCTAAAGGGGCACTTCAGAAAGGGCTTAGCAAATGCCCGATTTACACCAAGAGCTCAGTGTATGTTGCTCTTAATAATGCTGGGTGTTTTTTTTCCTCCCTAAGATTGTAAACTCCTTGAGGTCAGGAACTCGGATTTTTCATTCTTGTGCCTACCATCATTACTTCAACTGTCTGAAACAGCGCTGTCCAATAGAACTTTCAAATATGGTAGCCACTAGCCACATATGGGTATTGAGCGCTTGAAATGTGATTAATGCAATTTTATAACTGAATTTTTTGTTTTACTTCTAATAAGTTCTAATAAATTTACACAGCTACATGTGGCTAGTGACCACTGTATTGGACAGTGCAGGTCAGTAAATGTTTGTTGAATGGAGGAGAGACTGAATGTACCAGTATATGGGACTAGGTAGAGGGAGAGAGAGCCGTGAGTTGAGAGAAGTGGAAAATACAAAGGAAGAAGAGAATAATGGACTCAGAGTTGATAGATGCCCTGGAAGGCCATCTATTTCAACTCCTACCCAGTGCTTGAATTCCTTCTCCTGTATTGCATTATACCTAGAAAAACCTTTTTCATCTTGAATGTTCTCCTTGTAACTTCTACCCTTTGCTCCTTACCCTCCTGGTGCTATGATCCAAGTTTCTAGTCACTCTACCATTATGAAAACACCCAAATAGAAGGTTGTTATTGTGTCTGTCTTTTCCCCAGAGCTTTCACTTCTCCAGGCCAAACAGCTCTTCATAATACAATTGACTAGTAGTGTTTTGTCGAGGAAGCTGCTCAACCTCATCTCTAAGAGGGGATAATCCTTGTACCTACCTCACAGGGCTGTTGTGAGGCTGGAATAAGATAATGTATGCAAAGGTGCTTGCACAGAGCCTGGCATTTAGAAAGTGCTCAATAAATGTTCGTTATTGTTGACAAAGAAACATGCTTTGCCTTTGTTTTAGAATCATGGAGTTTATTTTTCTCAAACAGGCCTGTAGGGAGAAAGCAAAGACAAAGGGTTTTGTTGCTCTGAAAAGCAAGTGAATTGATGCCACTTACAAAGTGATAGAGTTACAAAATGAAGTTAATGATGTCAGAGATGGTGAATTTATACACACAGGCGCTGTAATGATTATTATAACCTGGATGATAGACCCAGTTTCTTAAAACAAACATTCTAACAAATGCAGTTTTCTATAACAAACGTAGTAAATTCAGTTTCTCACAGAAACATGAAAAATAGGCTTTGTAATAATCCTGTGTTTGAGGTTAAGTATTATATTCTTTTAGGATATTTCCATTTAAAAAGCAAATTATCACAGCAAACAGACCTATCAGAAACTCAATTTCAGGAAAATGAGATACAGAATAGATATTATTAAGACCTTTATTCTGCCTGGCTAGTGCTGTGTGTGTGTGTGCACGCGCACGCGTA